ATCCTAAGCCCAACAACAACATAGTATATATTTATTCTATTAAGAAATATAAGTAAAAGCCAGTTATTTTGACAATTGGCAAAAAAACAATAACAAGAACCCATATACATATATATTATTTGTTTAAAAATCTAACAGTCTCCATCTTGTTCATCAATTCCTGCTTGTTCAACGTCTTACTCCTCATTTGTATGGTGATTAGGAAACTCGACTAGCAATCTCCGGATCGGGAGTTAGAATCCCGTCACCGAACATGCTCTCCCATGTAAGCGTGAGGGCTTTATAATATGAGTAGCCCAAGAGTTGACGATGGGTAGTGTTGACTAGCTTCCTTCATTCTAGTCTATCACTTCAAAATTAGGGACGGTTAGCGCAGTTAATCCTCGAGTAACTTTGCACGAGATTAAACTATAAATCAATCTTCATTGGTTCGTTTGGAACATGTTTATAACTTGCTCATGTCAGTAGGTTGACCAATGACGATACATGGTGTAGTTTTAGTAGAAGGATAAACGATAATGTATTTTTGTGTCCACCATTTCTCTAGAAACGACAGCTAGTAGTTTCCTTCAATGTTCTCTATAACCGTGTTTGTTTCACCTGAACGGTTTTACGAGCGTTTCCAGAGTTTGTTTTGCCTTTCAAATATATACTGTGTTTATCTATACAATATGCAAACAGTATCATATATATGTACTGTACAAGTTTTAGAGTTTTTCTTCTGAATGAACATCTGTTTGGCTCCATCATGTAATATTTATTCGGTGTAATTTTATGTAGAGATTTTTTCATCGTGAATAAACTGCGTCATTGTCTATGGCTGAAAAGCTAGTGGATTTCGCATTTTGCAAGAGTTTATGTAGTATCAAAAACCGGTTTATGATGCTTCATCTCAACAGCTTTAAACAGTTTGCTAGCGTTTAAGTACCTCCTGTGTTACTTAAGGATGCTGTACGAATTGTGTAGTAGTTCTCGGTTATTTAGAAGTGCTTGTTTCTTGTCTCTTCAAGGTTGCTCTTATTTTGTTTTGTCTACACAAAACAGAAAGGGACAGTTTTATATTCCTTGTTTCAGCTGATTAGATTGTTAAAGTTCTGACTGTTGAAGAAGATAAATGTTTAAGCAAATCTGAAATACCAACAAAATGATAGAGATATCTTTAATATAATGAAATGTCGGGAACTAAGCCTATTGAATTTGAAATTTGCTCTAAAAACTGTAATCCTTCAATAATGTTGGAAACGTGTATACATGAAACTTTGTTAACGGGCCTGTAAATTCAAGTCTCGTCGAGAAATAATTTCCATATTTTTTCAGTTGTATTTATTATTATTATTTTTTGGTGCCATATTAGGGTAAATACGTAAACATTCTCCATTATATGTGTGATAAAAATTCATGAAAGGTACGCAGTAAGTAGACACAAAGAAACACAAACCTGGCATGAAGACAGCCATCTTGGATCTACAATAATACGTTTTTCCACCCAATTTTGATATGTTTTTTTTACATGTAACCCAGAAGCCTACTTAAGTTTATGTTTTGACCCGTAATTTGGACAACGTACGGGAATTTAAACTTAAAATTTAGTTATAGTTTCCAGCATGATTTATTTTAATTAAAGCTAAAACTAGACAACTCCGTTTTTGTAAAGAGCAACGTACAAGTGTCATCTTAGTTTGTTGCTGACAACTTTGCCAGCTTGACTCATAAGCTAATAGAGAAAAATAACATCGTAATATTATGACGTAAACAACAACAGACGTGTGTGATTGAAAATCATTTATTATGTAAAAAGCGTTAAACTTGATAGATTTTTAATCCGGTGTGAGGTATTATATTGTCAACACCTATACAGTATGTACCATTGTATGAGTATGGTTTACCTTATGGTATTAGGGTTGTTTAGAGGTTCATTACCTCAAAGTATTAGGGTTGTTTAAAGGTGTTAGAAAGTTTTTAATTAAACAGTAGTTCATTGAACTAATAATTTGAGTTGTTAAAAAAGTGCCTTAGTAGAACTCGCATAAAAAAATCACCTGATGTGCGAGAAGTCCTTAATGTGTTGTGTGAGAGCAGTGTCACCATAATATGATTTGTTTCATTTCCCAAATTTGAATTCTCTCGTAATTTAGTAACCTGTGTTGAAGATTTTAACCGGTATTTTGAAAGGATCTATCGGATCAGCAATTATTTTGAAGCGGATAGAACTTATCTTTTTTGGTTTTTAATTTAGATAATATATTGATTTGAAAAGTAGTCATTCTAGATTTTAATAATTACATCTATATATGTATCTTCTTCTCCCCCTAATCTCTTCATTTGGGGGTCGGGGAGTCTCGTGAATTTTCACCATTTAAATCTAACGTTCACCACACCGAGATCTACTTGACTACTGTCCCTAATCTCTCCATTTGTGGGTCGGGGCGTCTCGTGAACCTTCATAATTTAAATCTACTTGACTACTGTCCCTAATCTCTTCATTTAGACCGTATATACTTTCGTTACTATCAGTTGTCAAGGTTGAAAGTAAACCATATACTCTTTCGTTAGTATCAGTTGTCAAGGTTCAAAGTAGACCGTATATACTTTCGTTAGTATCAGTTGTTAAGGTTCAAAGTAGACCTTATACTTTCGTTAGTATCAGTTGTCAAGGTTCAAAGTAGACCGTATATACT